GGTCGAAAATCTTGTGGAATGTGGTACCACACCGGAGGATAAGAGGGTCTAAGACGAGATTTTGGAAAAAATTGAATTATTTTCTATGCCCAATATCTTGTGGAACTCTTGTGGTGAAAAACACCACAGAATAAAATTTTGTAGAATATACTTCCCCAACATCTTACAAGATGATAGGATAAAGTATTAATGTTCCAGCAAAATAAATAGAAAATGTTTCATAAATTTTTCATAGTCCAAGTTTTCCAAACGCCCCCAAACCATACCATGTCTATAATTCTGTTTTGATAGCCATAGTATACACTCCTCTAGAAAAGTGCTCATGTTGACTTTTACTTTTATTTTGAAAGTTATTTGTTTGTTATTATCATTTATTTGAAGCCCAATATATTCTGCTATTTTCAGCAATGTTATATTTTAACATTTTATGATTTTTTTACATAAATTGGAACTCCAAGCTAATAAAATAGTGTTAAAAGAATGTTATTATGTTGCCAGGACAGCATGTCCTTCCTATAAATACAATCCAGTAACATCTCACAATTAACATAAATTTGACGTCTCGTTTTTCTGACAATTTGATGCTAGTGCCAGTCAGTACCCATGTGACATAATTTGTGGAGATATATTTCTTGACAGAATATTTCCAACTTTCTTTCAAAAGAAGATACCTTTATGTCAACCCTGTAACAATTGTGTCTTTGTGTCTTTACTGTAACATGATAGTCCTTTCTGTAACACTGCGAATAAACAGTCAGTAAAAATGATAGCAAGCCCATATCTTCAGTTTTTCTACTTATTGTCATTGATACCTCTCTACAGAGCATGACGAAATTATTGTCCGGGTACACACACAGACTTACATAGATAATAATGCATAATACTTCATTTAAGTATAAACTTCGTAACTGTACCTTCTTTTTAAAAAAACATTAGCCAAATTGAGGAAAACATGCTTTAGTATGCTTGAATGACCAATCATTAGAAATAATCTGCTTAAAAAAATGTGGTTTTATGGAATATTCACATATTTTCAACAAAATTATTAATCGTTACGAGAAATTTCATATTTCCAACTGGTGACAGATAAAAGCTGAGAATTTTTTTAATTCTGTAAAATTGTTCTAAATTTATTCAGAACTGTATACTATATCAAATAAATATAAAAAATAAACAATTAAACATATTCGAAATATAAAAAATAAACAATTAAACATATTCGAAATTTGGTCATTTGTGATTTGCAATTTCTACCGATTTTGATAATGACCCATATATTAACGCATCACTTGATTTTCACACACGTCAACTTTAACATTACAGGTTCCTAATAACCACCTCGTGTTAACAATTTAAAGCAAAAGTTAATTAATGACACAATAGCATTTAGCAAATATACATTTAACGTTTATATTACGTTTCTAAAGCAAAATTTAATTACACAAAATCATATACGGACAAAATCTACGGTATACCTCCACTTTTTAAAAAGTGTCTTATTCTTATCTTAACCTCGTATTAAACTCGTATTAATGACTTTGTGATAATCTCACAATTTAACGAGCCGTTAATGTTAGTTTTCCCAGGAAAAACTATACCTTAATCCCTAAATTAAACTTCATGAGACTTGGACTAAGGGTCTCAAAATTACATAGCTGAACACATGGACGACACAAAAACACAAATAATAGCAATCTAACCTTTTATTCAAAAGCTAAATTACCCAATTTAGTCTTACACGACTAAAACCATAACCCTGAAACTTGGACAAGGGTCCCAAAATTATATTACCAGGGTAGCTTAATACGTATACAAACGACACAAAAACACACATTTTAACGAATCAAAGCAGAAACATGCCAACTCTATCCTTAGATCTACCATCTTCCCACTTTAAGTCGGGGACAACATTAATTCCTTATTTTATTCCGTATTCGTTTCATTATCATTTTTATTCCTTAGTTATATCAAAAACAATTTTTTTAACTACTCCCTAGAGACTCACTTTAATTTTCATTTAATTACTCAAATTTACTATACTTACTACAGGTCAGGTTAACCTGACAATATGTAATACAATATCATTTGGGATCTAAAATTTAATATTGTATTTTGAAATCATATTTTAATTCATATTTTTCATTTGTAACTCATTTTGGACATGTGGCAGATTAATTGTAAAATTTAATCTATGGCAGGAGTGGGGGTTATGACATAGTATTATGTAAGATGTAATGGGTTGTCTTTAGACAAGTATATGATATAAGATTTAAGCTGTCAATCAGACTCAATGTGCCTACGAGTTATCCAATCAGCCTATTTGTTTATATAACATGAAAACCAATCAGGATTGTTTGCACGTTACAAATTGGCATACTTTGAGAGGACAGAGAGAGAGACCTGGGGAGGTCGAGAGGTCCTGAGAGACCTAGAGGTCTTCCGGACCTCGGAGAGGGCCTGCCCTCGGACCACAGGAAGATTGGGTCTTCTGAGACCTAGTAGGCGCAGCTGTATATAGACGTTATTATATCTAACCACAATGAATTTCATATGTAAGTACATGTAAATATGTTATCCAGTATTAAAATATCTTTTTAATAAATAAGAGTTACATATTCTATCACATAGTCTTAAGTGGTGCCGTGATCGACGAACCTGAGGTTATGATATATTACATACTCTTAATGGGTTCCGTATACCAGACCAACGTTTTCAAAGTCCTGGCCACTAGAAGATCAAAGCATTTTATTAAGAGGTAAGTCTTTTTCTGATCCTAATCATGGCCACGGTTAATGCTGATATATTATGTTTAATAATTTAACTGGCGAAATAAGCGGTTTGTCTGCAACTCTTCAACATTATGTAGTAACTCAATTAGCTCAACCATTTTCTAGTGTTAAGAAATATGCCCTTTCATCTGTTGTATCTTATATAAAAATTAAATATATTGCTAGTAGTGAACCAGTACTTTATTATGTGTATGAAAATTACTAAAACAAACATATCTATTATGTTTGTTTAACAAATGAGTTATGGTGAGTTTTTAAATAATATGTAAATTATAAATGTTTGTTTTGAACATATATTTTGACTTAAAGTTAGTAGTAACGTAGTATTATCAGGCCTATAATTTGAAGTGAAATGTTTTATTTTTGTTTAATTAACTGGAATCGCGTGAAGAGTATCCTAATTGAGAGATATAACTCATACATATTCACACTGTATAAACGGTTTTATCTTTTTTTTGTTCTGTCTATATATATATATATATATATATATATATATATATATATATATATATTTATGCCCCGATGTGTTAACCCCAATGATATGAGATTGGGATGCCCCATTAATATGCGATTGGGAAGCCCGAGATGTTACGGGAGAGGTTTTAAGTGAAATTCCTATAAGGCGGAATTGGTCTCACCCCTGGAGGGAATGTGATGTATTGTTTTGTTTAAAATTTATAGAGATAAAACCACTGTTAATTTTGATAGGTTCTTTCCAAAATATCTTATATAAGATCAGTGAAATGTGTTCAGATCATTCATAACAATTTAGCCTGCGGTAAAGAAATATGACCTCCTATTTTCAATTTGGTTTATGTCAATTGTACATGTAAGTAAATATTTTATAATAGTCTGTTCCACTTACTAACTTGATTAACAGTTAATTGAGTTCACTCCATGATATAATAAGCAAATGATAAAACTTGGGCACGGATACATGGTTGAAATTATATGCTGACATGATGGGGAATATATGCATAATTGATGGATACTATGTGCATAATTGGTTGAAAATATATACATACATGGTGGATAAGATATCCATTTATCAATAATTTATGGAGAATATTTCCAACAGAGATTATAGACTATCCGTTCCAGCTAATGCAAGGAGTTCTCACTTTTGGATTCCCTAATTTGGATCGCGTGTGATTGTGATTATGTTTGCGTGTTTCATTTATCATTTATATGACATTCGTTTATGACGATTTTTTCCGTGTACTGTGCTTCCCATGTAATGTGTGTCTTTATTAATAGAATCTACTGATCCAGGAAGAAACGCGTAAAGTGACTAGTGACTCTTATACTTTTGTGAATATTTTTAGTTTCGATGTTGTGCTTCTTGTATATAACGAAATATGACACTATATTTACCCCGGCGTTACTCCGTGGAATACTGAACATTTTTTTTTACATAGATAATATTTCCATCTGCTTTTTGATGCTTCAATTATTGTATTGTGCTTTAATCTTTTATTGTTTTAAAATCGTTTCATATTTTATATATTCCACTATTTTATAATTGTGGTTAGGGGGGGAATGTAATACAATATCATTTGGGATCTAAAATTTAATATTGTATTTTGAAATCATATTTTAATTTATATTTTTCATTTGTAACTCATTTTCGACATGTGGTAGATTAATTGTAAAATTTAATCTATGGCAGGAGTGGGGGTTATGACATAGTATTATGTAAGATGTAAGATGTAATGGGTTGTTCAAATTGTTTGCTCGGTTTGTCTTTAGACAAATATATGATATAAGATTTAAGCTTAACAAGTATTCTTAACAAGTATTAACACCTACTGTCTAGTGTTAAGACGTGTGACTCTTAATAATTAGTTTTCATTGTTCTGATTAGCAACGCCTATTTACTCGGCTTGCTATAATAAGACACCAAGTCATTAGCCTTTCATTGTTCTAAATTTACTATAGAGTCCCAGTTGTCAATCAGACTCAATGTGCCTACGACTTATCCAATCAGCTTAATCGTTTATATAACATGAAAATCAATCAGGATTGTCTGCACGGTACAAATTGGCATACTTTGAGAGGACAGAGGGAGAGAGCTAGAGGTCCTCCGGACACCGGGAGAGAGCTAGAGGTCCTCCGGACACCGGGAGAGGGCCTGCCCTCGGACCACAGGAAGATTGGGTCTTCCGAGACCTAGTAGGCGCAGCTGTATATAGACATTATTATATCTAACCACAATGAATTTCATATGTAGAGTATTCAAATATCTTTTTAATAAATAAGAGTTATGTATTCTATCACATACTCTTAAGTGGTGCCGCGATCGACGAACCTGAGGTTATGATATATTACAAATATACTCATGATATTATTTTTTTTCCTAAACCTCTCAAAACTTATAAACGGTGTTTGAACCGTCTCGCGTCAGATACATCGACACGTCGTCTGCTGCTTTTCGTCTTTTAGCAGGGACACAGTGTTATTGTAGAATAGGCCAGTCTGTCAACGGGGACACCGTGTTATTGTAGAATAGATCGATTCCCTTTTTACACGTCCAGTGCCATGATGTTTAAACTTCTGATATGTTGTATATTTGTCGTTGTGTTTAAACAAAGCTTCGTGGATGGTCAAATCTACATATTGCGAAGAGCGATCACGTAGCTAGTCGTCAACTCCTAGCACTACATGACGACGGTAGAGATGAGGGTCAGGCAGCTAGTCGTCAACTCTTAGCACCACGTCATGACGACGGTAGAGATGAGGGTCACGTAGCTAGTCGTCAACTCCTAGCACCACGTCATGACGACGGTAGAGATGAGGGTCAGGCAGCTAGTCGTCAACTCCTAGCACCACGTCATGACGACGGTAGAGATGAGGGTCACGTAGCTAGTCGTCAACTCCTAGCACCACGTCATGACGACGGTAGAGATGAGGGTCAGGCAGCTAGTCGTCAACTCCTAGCACTACATGACGACGGTAGAGATGAGAGTCAGGCAGCTAGTCGTCAACTCCAAGCACCACATGACGACGGTAGAGATGAGAGTCAGGCAGCTAGTCGTCAACTCCTAGCACTACATGACGACGGTAGAGATGAGGGTCAGGCAGCTAGTCGTCAACTCCATGCACCACATGACGACTGTAGAGATGAGAGTCAGAACAATCTCAGTGGCGATCACAACCTGACAGTAACCTATAGATTGGCGAGCAAGAAGAAAATCCATGAAAAGGACGAAATCGAAACGGAGATTGAGAATATGGTGGATAACTTTAGAGATGCCTTGCACAAACTATTTTACGTGGCACGTGATAGAGAAGGGGGTATGCTGGAAGGGGTGGTACAAACCAGGAACCGAATAATGAGGTCAGTGGAGGCCAAGATGCAATTTCCAGAACACTATCCCAGACGTGATGGAGGAGGCCGAGATTAGAAATTAGGAAGATTACATTAAATTTGCATATATAATATATCTATGCAAAGTTAATGTAATCTTCCTAATTTTAAATATCTACAATAATAAATGCAGTGTATACAGGGATATATCGCTTGGATATATATTATGTAAAATGTCGTGGACCATATCTGAGTATTCTAAGGATTAACTGTTCATAATGAATTAAATGATATTTAAAAATCTGCCGAAGTAGCAATTATTTCTGTGTATATTTGCAAATATTTTTCTTTAAATCTTCTGTGAAACCAGACTGTGCACAATTATTCCAAAATTTAAAAACTAAGCTGGACAATAAAAGAATTGGTAACATTTTTTGGTAAAGTCTTTAGAATTATTATTACTTTTAAAATATCTTACAAATTAAAGACAGTTTTTGTTGGGTCATCGATCTTACTGATGCAGGGCTTTTGTATACGTATGCCTAGGTTGTTAAGGAATAATCCTATTAATCCTAAATTCATAAGTCGGTGCTGCATTTTCTAAAAGATTCAGTATGGAAACGTCATTCTCCATATTTTTGTTTTAATCTGTAAAAATTGGTATTGTATATTAGGCCTACTGTTCCATAAAACTATTTTTTTACGAAGATTTTGTTTACAAATTAAAATCTAGCACATCAAAATTCATATCTATTAATATTAGTGGTATGAATGAATTGTAGTGATATGTATAGAGAAACTCCTACGAGTCTTTTATTGATAAAAAAAGACGAGTAGGAGATTTTATTTATCACACAATCCTTTCTTACATGCACAAAAAAATAAATATAATTATTTGCTATAGATTTCACTTTTACTGAACCAGATTACAGTATGGCGTAGTGATACGTCAGTTTTTGTCAGGAGTTCAACCATTGCAAATTTTAATACTGACCTAATGTTTCGATCAAAGTCAATTAAATGGAAATAGTCCTTTTTAATAAAAAAGAAGTTACGTTGAATAAAAAATGAATTGTTCTTTGAAAATAAAAAAAAGTAGTTCCTTTTTAATTGACCAATCAAATCCATATCTTAAGGATATATCGCATTAGATTATGAAATTTATCACACAAGCGATATCTACTATATAATGTGTTATTGAGTGATAAATTGTGTTTGGTGCGTCTGGTAAGAAAATATTCAGTTTTGTTCGTCGACATTAGCGACCAGTCCAAATTGAATAGTAGTCGATCGCACCTGGTTAGTCCCGTCTACATCCGAAATGCGGATTTGGTTAGATTTATTACTTAAGGCCACCTTCGGATTTGGTCAAAGGGCACGAGATGTAAACAGGGCTAGCGCTAACACCAACCCTAACCTTGGACCTAGCCTAACCTTTACCCAAACCCACAATCTCGTCAACAATCACGTGCCCTAACCTTATTTACATATAAGCTACCTTGACGAAATCCGGAGGTTGTCTTAAGAAATAGTTCTAGCCGTGCGGATTGATATTTCACTTACGCACTGGACACGTTCATCAAGACGTCTCATTATAAATCGCGCTAAAGAACAAAAAGACTATAAGACTATAAATAGTCATTGCACGTGCAATTCCCTAAACATCTATCAACAATTACAGCCGTAGAAAATCTACTGTTTTGACGATTCTGAATAGCAGTAACATTTAGCCTTTTGGTTATTACAGCAGCTTTAGAAATTACGTTCGTTTAAATTTTTAAATTGCTTTATCATTAACTGTACCGTTGGGGGCGGCATCTTTTGTTTTAGTACAAATAATATCTCTGAAATATTACTAGCAGTAATTTTACTTTTACAAGGTTCTTAAAACAATTATTTAGTTGCCTAACGTGCGTGTTTCTAAGTTCAATTTCTTGTTCCAGCTTCCTGTTGTGTGTCGTAAAAAAGGATCGAGTCTTGATTATCCCTGCCTGTTTATCAGACGTAGAATGGTCGTCAGAGAGGTTAAGCGAGACTAATTTCAAAACAAGGGCACGTAACTTTTTTTTTTTACTCACATTTGCTCTGATGTTATAGCCGAGATTCGTAACCATCTTTCAGTTTATTATTTATGGATGATTAAATGGTCATAGCTTATTAAGTACATTTGACCGTTTATTTAGTGACTATAAATGTGCGAACCCGATTTAAGGCTTGGTGTATATATAAATATTGTGGTGTAATTGTCGAGACATTTGGAGATATTTATTTATGGTGTGTCACCCTACCAGTATAGTGAGTCACGACGACCTTGGTTATATAATAGTGGATGTTTTTTTATACTGTAATGTAATCCGCATATAATTTTATTAACACGTTTGAACAATACATTCTATATCAGCTAACATAATTTTGTACACTCTGGATACAACTTGACATATTCAGTGTGTCTGGAGGAATTAAAGTAGAAGTCCCAATCCTTTTATACAAAAACAGAAATAAAATGAAATGGGGTTTAACGTCCTACTGTTCCGCTCCTACTGACCAAATGAAGACGGGCATACGCCATGCAGTGTTCTATGAGGGGAATTTTGCCCGGACAGGGACGCTACGGCCTACTTTTATTTCGATTCCAACTAAAAAGGCTTCTGTTCCGCAGAGGGGTGTTATTAGAAGAATATGACGTGTGCAGGTTGCCTCGGTCATCCCGGTGTAATTATCCTTATCTGTGCGACCACAGATATTGACAATAGAGACAACTCCCGCGGATTTCCCACTGCAATTATAGATATAAGATAAGAATAATTAAGTTTTAACTTTGTGAGGGAATATGTACTTATCGCTTAAATATGTCACAGGGTATCCGTTGATATAAGTGTGTTTAAATAAAACGCCATAATGTGACAATGTGAGTAGAATTTGAAACTTGACTTCACCCAGATACAAAACTGGTCGTTTATATTATTTTAGACAAGGGAAGGTAATTTAACATTTGATTAATCACTGACGTATATATGGGATGGTGCAGAGCCAAAGGCCTAGTCGTATAAATGAGACAGTTTAGGGTGAAAGGCCTAGGCGTATATATGGGGCGGTGTAGGGTGAAAGGCCTAGACGTATATATGGGTCGGTGTGGGTCGGAAGGCGTAGACGTATATATAGGGCGGAAGGCATAGTCGTATATAAGAGACGGTGATGGGCGGAAAGCCTAGACGTATATATGGGGCGGTGTAGCGCGGAAGGCCTAGACGTATATGTATGGGGCGGTGTGGGTCGGAAGGCGTAGACGTATATATGGGAAAGTGTAGGGTGAAAGGCCTGGTCGTTTATACCTGGGACGGTACAGGACATTGTCGAGTTATTCGGATGTAAAATAACTCTTGAAAGTTGGAAATCGATATACAACTAGGTCGTAGTGCGGGCAAAATTACTCTCATAGCAAAAGTGAAGTATTACGTCAAACCCCATTCATTTCATTGCATATCTGGGACCCCTCCTTTAATATTATTATATTAATTGAATATAAACTAAGGTGCAACTGGTCGCCTACTGCTTTTCTCGTCATTTAACTGGGATATCGTGTTATTAATGAATACATCAGTCTACAAAACAGGGACAGTGTTATTGTAGAATAGGCCAGTTGGTCAACTGGGGCATCGATTTATTACTGTAAAACAGGCCAGTAGAATACACCAGTTGCAGTTCTTTATTTCACATCCAGTGCCATGATGTTTAAACTTCTGATATCTTGCACCTTTGTCGTTGTTTTTAAACAAAGCTCCGTGGATGGTCTGAAGTCAAATCTACATATTGCCGACAGAGATCACGTCGCTAGTCGCAACTCCTAGCACCACATGACATACTTAGAGATTAGAGTCAGAACAAGCTCAGTAGCGAGCACAACCCCCCTCCCAAAAAA